TGTATTATCATAAAGATATTTAGCTAACTGGAGAAAAAAAACTATTGTAGCAAAAAATATAATACGTAGGTAAAATAGACATTCAGAATAAAATTATTAAAAAAAATGAATTTTTAATATGCAGCAGAAAACATGTAATATATTTAACAGTACATGAAAACTTTTTAACAATAAAGTTCAGTTGGTTATCGACATTCTGATACAAAATATAATAAAACCATATCATTTGCTGAAATTCATTTGGTTTTTTCTAAACAAATATTATTATAATCAATATAAAATACTCCAATTTCATTGGATTTTTAAGTCTGCTGAGACAGCTGAAACAAATCAAAAATTATCAGTAAGCATACATTTTTTTCATGTATTAAATTCTTTTTTGTTTTCTTTTGTAATATAAACCATCGGAAATAACACTTAAATGATTGATAGTTCGTTGAAAAGCGCGAAAGTAAATACCGAACTTCAGCGTTTCGAAGGACTTGTAGAGATTTCAAAAGACTTATTGACATTTCGGGAATATCAAAGGTACTATTGACTTGATGGTTGTTTGATTAGAAAAACAATATAACACTTTAAAGTTTATTGATCATGTTTAGTCGCACGCTAAAATAGAAATAATCATTTGAATAGCCTATAACATGTATAATATGTCTAAATTAACCTAAAGAGTTATGTAGAAACCTTGTTAATAGTAGAATATTTCACAAGAATTTTTCTTTAATATTAATATCATGAATTTTTAAAGCAAATGATAATTCACTATGCTGTATATCATAAGTTATCTGAATCAGTAGTTCCATATGAGTCAACTGATCCGTTTATTAAAGCAATTCAAAACTATTTTGTTTTTATATTATCGAATTCTACTGATTTTCTACTTGCCATAAAAGTATAGAAAAATCCCAAAATAAATTGTTCTTTTGTGCCTTTTTTTTGTGAATTTCTTCCGAACATTTTCATCAATAAAACAATAAGTCGTCCTAGACTGAAAATCTCGAACTGGATTCTTCGTTTTCTTCAATCAAAATTAACGCTTCATATTTTAAGATTCATATTCTTTTTATGCAAATCAACATTTAACTGAGCTATACGTTTTTCTTTTCATTACAAATAAAGTTTGTCTTTGATGATCAGAAAAATCAAAACACTGGAGATAGTATCAAAAGTTTGCTTTATTTAAAATATATATATTTTGTAAAGTCTATACAAACTTTCTAGGAATAAACTTATTAAGACAGAAACCTTTACACCTCAAATAAATCAATATAGTCAGAAAAAAAAATCTTTTTAAAATTTCCTCAACGACATATACATACTCTTCATAAGTAAATGTTTGATTATTAGATTTTTTTGTTAAAATAAACTAACCTTGATTTCATCAAGTGATTCCCAAACAATAGCGAGAAGTCCATAGAACAACTATATTTCATGTTTTAAATAAGAATAAGAACAAAATATTTTGTGTAATCAAATTAGATCAATATAACCATGGTGGTAGTCAACTACCTATATAAAATATTGCTGAATAAAATAATCATGAATAGAAAGTGATGCTCGACATGAAAGCAATAAACAAAGGTAAAAAAAATCAACTGTATTCGTTCGGTATGAGCGTCATTCATGCGTGTCAACAAATGTTTTATACTCGAAGTGTGATATTCAAAATTATATGTTTTATTCAGAAGGATAGATGTGTCGCTTCTAAAATATTGTGATTCACATATGGGTGTGATCAACCGTAGGGTATCCCGATTTTCTTTCTTTCTATTATCAATTAAAAACCTAACCATATTAAGGCCAAATTATTACCCTCATCACTAAATTACTGAACTTAAAATATTAGCTGTTGATCGCTATCTAATATGAAACTATGTGGTCCCTTACAAACGATAGGACACGATTTCAGGATCTGAATAATTTCATATAAGACAGCAATCAGCAGCTAATATTTTAAATTTAGTGACTTACTGATGAGAGTGATAATTTAGCCTGAATATGGTTAGATTTTTAATTGATAATAGAAAGAAAGAAAATCGGGATACCCTACGGTTGATCACATCCATATCAATAAACAGCGCGCGACAAAAATTTCGCTCAAAAATTGCAATGACTATTTTATTTTATTTTGACATAGTGAGTTCGAATGTAGCATATCCATATACAGAGGCTTTAGAGATATTTATTATGTATATAGCATTTGTTTAGTTGTCGGTTTCTTAAAGGTGAAAAGTAGAGCTATATGAACTATGTCTTTGGATGAAAGAGAAACGGCAAATTTTGGAGTTTTCGTAATCTGAAATTTGCTACAGGATATTCACAGATTTTGCACAACTTTGCTGTACTTCCCAGACTTTTACGATGTCCCACATGACTTCATACACTCTCACAATTTTCTTCTACAAATAGAATGTTGTCTTCTCCTATATGTCAATTATACGAACAGATGAAATCAAACCAGTGTTTCTTGCCCTGGCGATTTGTTCATTCATGTGACCATTGAGGAGAAAACAAGATAAAAAGTGAGTTTTTTTTTTGAATATTTCATGTTCGTATTAATGTTTTCATGCACTCAGTTCACTACTAGGCATTGTCTTCCATAAATATATATATCATAGAGGGTGCTTCAACATGTCCACTACTTGTCCATGAAAATTAGTTTCTTTTTCAAATTTCCTTCATTTTAAAATTTTTTAAATTATGTGTTTCCCGGAAAGAGTAATGAAAAAAATAATTTTTTCTCAATCAATACTTCATGGATTGTATTTTAAAAATTTTTGAATTTCATACTTTCTTTATTCTCTGCAGATGTTTTACAAGTAGTCGCTTCGATCATCCAGAGCGTTGGCGATGCGATAAAGCTGATTAACAAGGAGTTAATACTTGAATAAATTTAAAAATGATGTTTGTAAAGAATTTATCATTTAGCATATTTCAATAAAAGCTACATAAATTTATAGCATAAAAAGTCATAACAAGACTCAAAATCATGAATTAAAAAAATATTGTCTTAGATATACAGCATAGATCTAATATGATAATAGCCTTTGATTCTCTCAGACTCTATAGTTGATTGGATATTTTGCTTCAAGTAAAAGTTCTACTTCGGTTGAAGTGTAATATTACTTTTGTTTTATTAAAATAGTTATTCACAATTAACGTAACCTAAGTCAGAAACAAACTCTTAAGCATACATTAACAAAAAAAACATAAAATTTCCATTTTTGGGTACAAGTGTGTGACTGAGCATGAAGTGAATACTGACACCAAAAGCAACACATTGCTCACACTCACTCACCCTCACTATCACCTTCAAACATTGTAATTGAAAGAAAAAGCGCAGTGACGTCATTGATATCTTCTTGTATGTTCAGCAGAATGTAGTATTTCCTAGCTTTTTGTTCATCCGTCGGCTTGTGTTTGCATAAAAAAATATGGAAAATAATTGAACACGATAAACGGAACGAAATAATTTTGTCATATATAACCATTGGATCGTATGTAGACGCATGATTCGATTATAGAAAAGCGTTTGTTGATCAAGGCACTTTCGGTTTACTTGACAGAAGTATGTTTTCAAGGAAGCTCCTAGTGAATACTATTATCGTTCTGTTTCTAATCTACGACATTCAAGTGCTAGGTAGAGAATCAGTGCGACATGGTTATCAAGGAACAATTGAATAGTGCTATTGTGAATGCAATAGAGCAATTCAAAGCAACAACATGCTCTTAGTTTCCAGCTGGTCAGTTCAGTACTGGCGCTCGGAATTATTGTGAAGGATGTCGTAAAAGACAATCAATAAAGATTTCGGAACAACTTATAATCATTGGCAGTTATCAACAGCAAATGAATTATAAAACGAAAAGAGTTGATTCATCAGTGATAGCTCCATTTTTGGTAAATAAATGTTCGTGTATAGATTGTGATAGTTTTTCGTCTGCATATTAATGAACAAATAACTGTTTCATACTTGCCAGATGCTGTATACATTAAAGGTTCATGCAAATGTTGCGGAAACAAAGGTCCCTGCCTATCATGTTAAGATGACTTTGTTATTCTATGAATTGACACTTTATTATAGAGTAACGTCATTGACAATTGATATTTTAATTATCTTAGAGAATCGTTTTTTACTTTTTAAGCTCGATTGAATTATATTCATTGAACATAAATAATTTATTGCCTTTTGTTTGACAAAAACATCATAGTATCGTATTAAGAAGTCTTGCTTTTCGAAGTCTACTATGTAATTTTCTAAGACTTCATTTCTAACTTATGAACATAAAAAAAAAACAATATTCGTTCGTCTTCTCGAATTAAAGTATGAGCATCCTAAGGTGGGTTGGATGTCTGGAATAAACGATGATGGATGAACCAATTAGAAGGCGTTTACATTCACACTCCATCATCAATGAAGAACTTTTATTTTCTCTTATTCATTTTATTCACCTAATTGAAAACTTCATGTGATGTTTCTCTCGCGAATATAGATAATACATTTCGTTTCTGACCAATTTAATAAATAGATTTGTTTATGTTATTTTTATTTATTCACATGAATGATTATCTGATGATTAAAATCAGAAAGAAATGATCTAATCCAAATTAAAGCTCAAGATAATTTTTATAATATACTTATCTAATATGAGAGAATAGTTTTATAGTCTCGATTAGTGATGGGCCTTGGTCATGAATGAAGAGAAGACGGTTTATAATCACAATCTATTTTTTGAAGTAAATTCGAGATAATATCGTCATTTCTACAGTAGAAAACCGAGAAAAATTTGTGTAAGAAAGATTCATTCGTTACAATGTAAATTCGCCATTGATCTTGACAGTGATTACATCGTATATTCGATTAGAAAGTACAAGATTCACAGGGTTTTTCACCATGCAACTAAAATTTCAGATAATAACAAACGATTTTCACTGAGTCTTTTTTAATATTGAAAATTCTACAATGTTGGAAGAAGGATGTTCAAATTTCTCCAATTGTTTTGTCTATTTTTTTGGTCAATTGTTGTTGTAGACTTGAATTTTATTAAAATGATCATAAGTTTGCAAAACTAAAACTCATCAATCCGAGAATCATTTTTAATGTCTTTTAACTTTATCGTTCGAATGATTTCCTTGTAGGATTTTGAAAAAATATTTGAGATTTCGATCGCTTCTATGTGTAATATACGACTTTGCAATATGTCTTGGATAGATTCATAAAACGTCGTCTACGCTAAATTTAATTTCGTGTATTGAAAGTTTTTCTGACACAATTTATTTTTCGGTGTATTAAAATAAAACTGATCGAGTTTCTGATACCTCTTAATAATCATCAATTGAGAAGACTTTTTAAAATTAAATTTAAAGTGTAGTTCGAAACGGAATAAGAAGAGATTACAGTTAAGAC